ATTCGATCGTCCACTAGTGGTGAGGAAGAGTGTATAAAATCTCCAGCATCGCGACGTCTTCGACTACGTTCCACGTTCAATGGACAATTCTTCGTGAAGTGACCCTCATGATGACAACTCTCGCAAAATACTGACGCGGATCCTTAAAGAAACAACCGACGTTTCATTCTCGACACATAAACGAAACCACTCATCCATATAATGAGCTAACAATGCTCAATTAGTTTTTAATGTTGACAGCCGATTTAAATGATCAGTTTTGAACACTGCAATGACATTACGAAAGAACTGCCGTAATCAGCCAGCCGCCAATATTCACCACGGATTTTTGACTATCTTTTGCATCAAAAACTCAATGGCAAATAAATTTTTCACTACTCAATTGAGAGCACGAATAAGGCCGTGGAGGAAGGACGATGAAATAAGTTCAGCAGTATTCACCTCTACGCTGATAACGATTACCTTCATATCTCCGACTATAGTATTCTTTCGTTGGTGCTGAAAAGTGAAAAGATTGATGAATAAAAAGTTCAAAAAATTGTTTAACGCTAACCACGATCTATCAGTATGCAACCAAACAGAGAAAATATCGAAGCCAACAAAAACACCAACGAGTGATCAAAACGGATTATTGAGATACAAATTTAGAAGCAATTTTCAGAACCAAAAAGTTTTGTAGTAATTTTCACAACTACTATCCAATGATTTCATAGTCATACATCGAAACAAATCTACATGTTATTTGTTTGAAACTTTCAAACCACTCAATTTCGCACCGAACAAATCCAACAACATATCACCGAAGCTAACTGTAAGTAAAAGTTACTAATGGCACTCACTTCCTTTGGCAGCAAAGCGATTCACACCAGCCCTTCCATCGCGCTCTTTCTTCGTCCAACGAGCCTTCCGATCCGATTGGTTATTGTTGGGTGAATCGCTNAAACAATTCTATGATAAACAACAAAAAATGAAACTTCAACACCTCTCCATTGTAAATATAATAGCTATAACATTACAAAAAAAAAAAACAAAACGAACCAGTGGTATTGCTGATCGCTTGTCGCTGTTGCTGATAGCGCCCACCGGGCTGATTCGAACTGAACGGTGATCTTGCTTCAGAACGATCATTCCTCAATGAAGTGTTTACGAATTCCGTTGGCGGTCGTATATTACTACCGCCGCCACCGCTACCAGATAGTCCTCGTCGTTGAGCATTTTTTACGTTCGACCATACACTCAATGGTCCATATGACATGTCCGTTTTCTGGAAACGGCAAATAACTTCCAATAAATTAGTACACGAAGCTCAGATAAAATACAGATAAGAAAGATGAAATATTTTATATCTGGTTCTCAACACGTTCAAGTCAAACGCAACTTTTTGCCAAATTCACTTTTCGTTTAGAAGCGAGCGATACGAAATAATTCATTGCTCAACAGACGGGACGATGCCAGATAGTTCGAGAAGGGTATTTGAGAGTTGTGCAAGTGAGTGCGGCCATGAATAAACTGTACGCTCAATCACTGTGATCAAAAAACGAAGAGATTCAAACGAAGGTCATAACAGACACGGTCCGCAACAGAGGTTCCGCCTTAGAGGGCATTTTATAGAATTAGCAATGGAATAATCCTTGCAAATAGTGACGCGCGGCGTAAGGCTATCAAATTGCTGTGTCGCATTCACACAAACAATTTATCAACGCACAACTCAAAACAACAGCATCCCCATAAATCCCACTGAATGCAAAAACAAGTATTCACTGGAAACGCAATTAACAATATGACTTCTACCTTCTTTACCATTCACTAGACTAATACTACCGGTAACCTTTTACAAGCTTACTAGCTCTATCGTTTAAATCGCACATGCTCACAATTTAGCACAACAAATTAATTTGGTGAATAACATTTTGCAACAGAATCTTATTG